GTCCCAGACTCCCCACGGAGCTCCACGGCTTGGCGCAGCTGGAGCAGTCGGCTCGGTGGATCTGCGGCTCCAGCCCGACGCCTCCTGCTCACGGCAGGCGCCGTGTCTGCCCGTGCTCCACCCCCACGGCTGCCTGGCCACCCACACGCACAGGGCGACGAGACCGACGTCCTGTGCGTGCGCGGCTGTCGACGGAGTCGGCGAGGCGCCGCGCGTCGGCGGCGACTTTTTTCGCTTTTCCGAATTCATTGGCCAAGGGACTGGGTGCTTACAGCTTGGCACGGGTGACACAAATCCGCCCGCACTCTCTACGTCGTGAGCTCCAGAGAGCTTGAGTTGATATTAGCCGTCTGGAATGTCTCCTTATTGAACCCACCCCAGCTCCAACCTCTCGCTGTCCTGGTTGGTGGAGAGATGGCAGCCGGCAGCAAACTGCGCTGTGGTCTGAGATGAAATTGGGTGGCTCCATTGAACATTCCTCCATCACAGCATGCTGGATAAAGGGCCAGCATGTTGTGGGTCACGTGCTTGCTTCAACATGACTGTTAAAGTCACCGGTCACTACGGTTTGACATTTGTATGTTGAACTTCTTTCGCACTGTACGTAGCCAACCGTGATAATCGGAGGTTGTGGGGGAAGGACAACAAACTAAACACAAATCAGTTTTAAAGAAATTCGTTTTAAACTTCGATAATTTAAAAGTGCCCTCGCTCCAGTGGCTACGTAATATCGCAAGAGCGTTCCAGACGGCAGTCGACGCAGCGCATCTGAAATGCGGCGACCATCTCCGTTCGGTGTCTCGCCAAAAGCCGCTGCTGTGAGGATGCCTGGAGGTGGTGTGAGGATGATTCGTGTCTCTTGACGAGATCAGCAGCGAGTTCTTGTGGTTCATTTGTGGCAAGCGCTTTGTGTGTAATGAGTGCCACCTGAGAACAATGTGTATCCGTTCGGCGACGGGAAGCCATTTACCGTACCGCCAACATCACGATCATCTTGCTGGGACTCACAGAGGCTCACAGACCCAGACTCATACAGAGACCCAGAGTCGCAGAGAAACCCATAGATTCACAGACTCAGAGGCTCACATAGAGACCCATAGACTCACATAGAGACCCACAGACTCACATAGAATCGCATAAACTCACATAGAGACCCATCGACTCACAGAGACCCTGACACTCACACCGATACCCATCGACTCACGTAGAGACACAGAAAATCACAGAGACACAGAAGATCACACAGAGACACAGACATAGAGATCCATCCACTCACACCGAGACCCATCCACTCACATAGAGACCCAGACACTCACATCGAGACACAGACACTCACACAGAGACAGAAAATCACACAGAGACACATAGACTCACATAGAGACACAGACACTCACACACACAGAAAATCACATAGAGACCCATCCACTCACACAGAGACCCAGAGACTCACATAGAGACCCATCCACTCACACAGGGACCCAGAGACTCACATAGAGGTTCACAGACTCACAGACTGAGCTGACTAAGCCGGGGTTCTCGAGTGCCCGAACGAGGCGGCTGGGAAGAGGCATTCATTATTTATTTTCTTGTCTTGGGAGGGGCGGGTGGAGCTGAACTCTCGACGAGTGAGGAGCGGGGTCCCGGCAAACAGAGCCAGCGAAACTCGTGCGTGCGTGCACGTGTGTGTACGTGCGCGTGCACGTGTGTGTGCACGTGTGTGTACGTGCGCGTGCACGTGTGTGTGCACGTGTGTGTGTGCGCACGTGTGTGTGCACGTGTGTGTGTGCGCACGTGTGTAGGCACGTGTGTGTGACGCGCGACGTTCACCGCCAAGCAGGTACAACCCCCCGCTGCTTGGGGAGACGGAGAGTTTGCTGCGTCTGCGTGGCCGGCGGTGTCAGTACGCGCGTGTGCATGTGTGCATGTGTGTATATGTGTACGCGTGTGAGTGTAGGTATGTGTGTGTACGCGCGCGTGCGCTTGCGCGCATTTGGTGGAGACATCTTCCCAGCTACAATAAATAAACGCGATCAGCCAAGAGGCTCAGTGTCGGGGCGCCTTTATTTAATTATTTCACCTTGGCAGGGGGCCGCCGAGGTGCACTGCGACACCCTTTGCCGAGCCGCCGCGAGAGGTCCTGTTAGCAACCGTCTTGAGCCAGGGTCGGCACTTGGGATTGAACTTGGGATTGGGGACGACGACTGGGCCGTCATGGACCGTGGCTGCAAGGTGACCAGGTGATGGCAGTACTATAATGGATTACCGAATCCATCTGTACGTAGCTTTGCGCATCACCGCCCGCTGTATGTGGTGTCTCGCCTCCCACACGAAGCCAAACTCTTCGCGTCGTTCAACGAGTTGGTGATGAAACATTCCAAACTGGAGCAGCGGCCTCTTGTAAGCCTCGAGACTCTGGCGAGCCTCCCCCCCCCCCCCCGCGTCAATCCACATCAGCACTCACGAGCTGGTCGGTGGTGCGCAGCGAGAGCGGTGGCGCAGCGGTTGCCACGCTCCAAACCGCCCCCCCCCCTCCTCCCCCCGCTCTATCCTTCACTGACTGGCGTGGTGAAGTATGGTCAAACAACCGCCTTTGGGGCCCTCATCGACCCCAGCCAAGGCCACAAGTTGCTCGCAAACATCAATAAATAATGGCCGTCGCCTGGCTGGTTCGCCACGGCCGTGCCGACGTGCGAGGAGCGACCAGGGACGGACGGCCGCTCCAGCAACGTGGACGGCAAGGTGGACAGCAAGGTGGACAGCAAGGTGGACAGCAAGGTGGACAGCAAGGTGGACAGCAAGCGCCACGATCGGGCCCTGCCCTCTCTTGGCTCAACACGGGCGGACGCGTGACGTGAAACTCCCGTGGGTGAGCGGTCAAACTGGGGGAGTTGGTGGCTCCTGAGGCTCTCGGGGTGCTTGGACTGCGGTCCGCTCTCCTAAGACGCGGTAAAAGTTCACTACCTCGCCAGGTATGCAGGGGGTCGTGGGGTCGATCCGGGACTTGCTCGATATGTGGAGTTTGGCGGTGACCTTTGGATGAGCAAACCCAGTGCGCCGTTGAACCACTCACGACAGCACACCGCGGTCGGTTTTCCTGTGCCGCAAGGATTGCAATCGTGTGCCCAGGTGTAATGCGAGCGTAAATGGGGTTGCTGCTGGGTTCTGGCCCAATCACACGGCCCGGTATGGGGGGCGTGTGGGAGGGGCTGCCATTCACCTCGGCTCCAATGGGAAGCGAGGTGAATGGAGGTGGAGCCAGCAGGGCAGTATGGGAAGGCCGGATCTGACGATCCGGAAGGGGAGGAGTCAGGGTCACGTGGAAGAGACGATATTGAGGGGAGCCCAGAAGAGATCGGGGCCAGTTGATGGGGTGAAGAAGCGGGACCGCGTTGGGTGGCCGCCGCGCCATCAGCCACGTGGCTGACGGGGCTTCGGCACACCGTCGGCCAGCGGTGTGCGGAGCGGGGAGGAGCGGAGAGACTAACGGGAGAGCGCGTGCGGGGCGCGCGAGAGGAGCTGACGGAGGAGCGTGCGGGGCACGCGAGAGGAGCGTGCGTGGCACGCGAGAGGAGCGTGTGTGGCACGCGAGAGGGAGCGTGTGCGGGGCGCGCGCGAGACGACGCTGGTCCGTGGAGGAGACCAGTGGGGGGGCGGAGAAGAACCTGAATAAAAGACAAGCGGAGACCAGCAGTGCCTGACGGAGTCTTTTATTACACAGGGAGCCTTGAGTGGCGAGATGTTAACTACCTCTCCTGGTATACAGGAGATCGTGGCTTCAATCCTGACCCTGACGACGCCTGCTGCTGTATATTTGGAGTTTACGTGTCTCTCTCCCCGTGGTCGCGTGGATTTTTCTCCGGGTCCACCGGTTTTTCCCTTCACATTTAGAATTTAAGTGCATTTGGCTGCTATACATTTGCACGTGACGTTAAGCCCCACTCCGTCGCCGAGCTATGATTTGTGATCGCCAGGTCGCTCCTGAATGAGGGCCTTATACGGTTAAATAAAAATAGTTTATAGTTACCAGGCATCTGTGTTCATATCGCTCAATCGGATTCCTCCAGTACAGCCTGTTCTCTCTATAATGCGGGAGATGTCACATTCCTGAGGAACACCGCATTATGGAAGAACCACGTTATAATAAATAATAATACATCGGGGTAAAGCGCAGTCCGCGATACCACGCGAGATGCGTAACGTGGACCGAACCAAGAGCGAGGGTAGCGTCTAGAAGTATCACCCAGTAGCATCCCACTGCCTCGTGCGGCCGTGATGATGATGATGATACGCCAAGGCGGCCGTGCGACCGCTTTATCCCTCGTGGCGTTATATCCGATTCGGATCCCGCGATGTGAGAAAAATGCATCCCCCTAATCCCCCCCATACATTCATCGCGTTACTATATATCCAATTCGCGTTGTGAAAACAACAACAACAACGCCTGTGTGACAGGAGAACGGACTCGATTTGGCTGCTACAAATTTCCACACGACGACGATGACGGCGAGCCACTTCGTGTTGGGCTATCAAGTGTGGTCAAGTCGCTTCCAAAAAAAAAAAAGAACCATACAGCTCAGTGCTGCATTTCAGCTCAATCTGATTCCTCCAATGGAGTCCCGTTCTGCTACAACGCCGTAGTAGTTGTGTTGGGAAAGCACGCAATTGTACGAGAACAGACCGTGGCTTTGGCTCTACGTCCCGTTACCGCCAGTGCAGCGGTGGCCTAGAGGCCAGGTGAGGTCGCGAGGTCGCGAGGTCGCGCGGCATAAAGAGACTTTGACAAGCAGCGGCAAGTGAAGGGGACAAACCAAGCGGGCTCCCGGTGGGGGTCTCTCAACGGCGACAGGCTGGGGGCCTGCGTCTGGTGGGGCCTGCGTCTCATGGGGCCTGCGTCTGGTGGGGCCTGCGTCTCATGGGGGCCTGCGTCTCATGGGGCCTGCGTCTGGTGAGGCCTGCGTCTGTTGGGGCCTGCGTCTCTTGGGGCCTGGGTCTGGGGGGGCCTGCGTCTCATGGGGCCTGCGTCTGGTGAGGCCTGCGTCTGTTGGGGCCTGCGTCTCATGGGGCCTGCGTCTGGTGAGGCCTGCGTCTGTTGGGGCCTGCGTCTCTTGGGGCCTGGGTCTGGTGAGGCCTGCGTCTGTTGGGGCCTGCGTCTCATGGGGCCTGCGTCTGGTGAGGCCTGCGTCTGTTGGGGCCTGCGTCTCTTGGGGCCTGGGTCTGGTGGGGCCTGCGTCCGACAGGGGGTAGGCGCGGGAGGAAATGGGCAAGTTCAACCAGAATTGGTTTAGGAAAGCCACACTGATGAGATACTGAAAATCGAAACCGGTCTCGGGTTTATTTGGAGTTTGCATGCATCTCTCTCTCCCCGTGGTCGCGTGGATTTTTCTCCTGGTCCTCCGGTTTTTCCCTCCACATTTGGAATCACAACGTGACGGTGTTTACGGTATTTGGCTGCTGCTATAAATTTCCATACGATGATGAAGATGAACCACTTTGTTGAGCGATCAGTTGTGACGGCCAGCTCGAATCTGAATGTTTTCTTTAGTATTAAGTGCTTGGTTGCTCGGACCCTGATAAGGGGTCCCCCCCCCCCCGACCGAACGGTCCCTGAAGCTATCCAGAGAGACGGTGGTAGTGGGACAGGCGCAGCAGACAACCACCACAAGCGCTACATTCAACCTGTCCCCGCCGCCATCGAGGCCTGGGCTACAGCTCCCCCAAGACATCCTTGGCGGCTTTCTCCGGTCGGCAGGTTTCTCACAACCGGCTCCCGCCGACCACGCCGCACGCACCCGCAACGTCGTCACATTTCTCGCAAAAAACAAAAATCGATCGCCGGTCTCAGCCAGTCATCGTCACAGCGACGACGTTTAACGAGGAGCAAGAGGAGGCAGCGGCGTCCGCAGCACTCCAGAGGGGATCAACGGAGCCTCCCTCCACCACGCAGGGTGGGCGGGGGTAGGCGGGGGACGGGGGTTCCATTCCTCCACCCAAGTTCATTTGAGGCAGGGTGTCTCGCTGTGCGTGTGCCTGCGACCGTCGGGGGCGGTCCTCGTTGGTCCGGCGGTTGTGGCGGTGGCTGACGCGATGGTGGCGGTGGCTGACGCGGAGGAGGAGGAGGCGGTGTGGCCGCCGTGAGGTGGTGGTGGCGACGGTGGAGGCGAGACTTGATCTCGGAGCGCGTCGATTTGGAACTGCAGCGCGTCCAGCTGAGCCGTCAGCTCGGCCTCCTTGCGCCGAGAGTTGGCGTTCTGAGACGGGAGCAAAAATGGCACGGAATGCACGAGGTGCGTGTGCATGTACGTGTGTGTATGTGCGTGTGTGTGCGCGTGTGTACTGGTCGACTCGTGTGTGCTCGGGGAGCGGTAGTGTAGCCGGCGACCCCGAGTTCGATTCCCGCTCACGGCCAACACCGGTGGTGACTATCTGAACTGGTCCTGGGTCTCCCCAAAGTCGACTCGACCTCAACTCGCCACTGGGGAGACAAAGGCGGCCTGGGCGTGGTGCTGGCCACCCACCCCTTCGTGTGCCGTGCCGGCCTTCATAGGTGCTCGCAAACAGCACTTGTCCCAACAGTCTGTTAATGCTATAGGGGCCATCTTTGTACTTGCGTGTGCGTGTGTGTGCGTGCGTGCGACTCGTGGTGCCCACCTGCCTCGCGTACTCCGCCACCATGCACACGCCCCCGATGACGAAGATCACCGCCTCACCCAGGAGCTCAGCCCCCAGCTCTGCCGCCGCCTCCTGGTCCAGCGGCTTCACCTGGGCCCCCCGGAACCCCATGAGTCGCATCTTGGTCTTCATCTCGATCCAGTGGTACACTGCGCGGTGGGTGGGAGGGAGGGTGGGAGGGGCGGGGTGGCAGAACCCCAAGAGCCGCATCTCAACATCTCAAGGGCCGGTGTGGAGGCATCGCAACGAGGGGTTGGTAGATCACCGCGCAGACGTTGTCGCGAAACTCCCTTCTACCTTCTGTCGCGAACCTCCCTTCTACCCATGGGTGGGAGTAGAGGAGGAGCCGTACCCCTGGCTCTGCCAGGAGAAGGCGGTACAGCAGTGTGTGGACTAATCTCCATCTGTTCATTCCATCCGTGGTGGGGGGGGATAGAGCGTTTTCCCCTCGCGCAGGGCGTGGGTTTTCTCCGGCATTGCACCGGTTTTCCCTCCTACCCCGGTGAATAACAAACACGACCTCATCATTAATCGGCTGAACGCATCTTTAAAGAACGAGATAAAAACCTAATGTAGCGGCAGCAGCACCCTCTTGAAAAAGAGTCCTTACGGCTCGGCCTCTACCTGGATACATACGAAATAGCCGCAGAGGTTTCGCGGCTCCAAAACAACGACTGCCCCGGTTAATGCTGCGGTTGGATTAACCGTAGAGGCAAATCCGCCACGCGCCCACCTCACTTCTACTCAGTGCGGACGCTCAAAAACCCGCGACGCCTTCCGCAAAGACCACGGTCGTCCCTCGGTAAATTTTTTTAACGAAATAACTGTTCCTCGAATTCACTTATCAGTTGAAACATAAGTCAAAGTCACCGAGTCTGCACGAGAGGCTGTCTCCACTGCCACAACAGACAACGCGTTGTAAACGAAGCCAGTCGAGGTCTGAACGCTCATAAATGGGTGTCACTGGTAGGCTGAGCGCTCAGATTGGCCGGAGTTGGCGCCCGCGTGCATAACGTAAACACGGATACGGTAGCCAACTTGCTAATGCCAGCCAGAACCATGGGGTCACTAAGGGAGGTGAAACGTTAACCTGCAAATCTGTTAACCAATGTAACTGTTCGCCGAGGGACTGGTGTAGTGTGTAGGCCACTGTGCGCCGCAGGGCGTCATCGTCCACATTTCTTTTCAAGATTTTCACATCGCACACCCCTCAACCGGGATCACACGCAGCAGGGAATCATTGCCGCCTTCTGCGGAAAACTTGGCAGCACCCAAAGAGTCTTCGAGACTCCGTCAAACCCACGCATGCGAGGGTGCAACGCTCTATCACACACACAAGGAACAGGTGGTGGGAGTCCACAATGTTG